CTGAGTCAGTTAGGCTTTACTAGCGTAGCAATCCGCTACACTTCTCTAATCTTCCTTCTGTGATACGCTTTTTTCTATTTGCTTTCATTGGTCTTTCTCCCATTGTTTTCCTTACAATTCAGTGAAAGCTTTGTTACATCTCATACCTGCTGGATTCTAACAGATTAAAAAGGGCATTTATACTTGCGGAAGTGCTACTTTAAAATTCTATCCAAATATTTTTTTTCTAATTTTTTAACCATTAAAATATTAAATTGGTTCATTATGCTGCGTTTAAAATTACTAAAATTTTTTTGCCAATTCGAGAACCTCTCAATTGTCTGATATGGTCGAATATCATTTTTCGCAAGAGATAATGCATGATACCATAACGACAATATAACGGTTAAAAATACATTTTATGTAGTTGTTTAGGCGGAGTAAATCTGTCCAAATTACCATTGGCGAATGAGCCGTCGTAATAATCAATAAGTAATTAATGGGGTGTGCGATAGACTTACCTCCACGTGGTGCACCCTGGGCAACGTATAATCATACGACAAAAAAGTCTATTTACCGGCAGTTGACGGAAAAAAGTCTATTAACTGACAGTTGACTTCTGGCTTCTAACTACCACGACCCCCCCCCCCCCCCCCACCTGGTTGTCATATTCGACCCCTTCCACAGTATTCCCCTTACCTTTTTCTCTACCTTTGTGTCCGTCTATCTCTTTTACATCTTTGAACCGCTCTTCTCTTCCCCACCCCTCGACTTTCTGTTACTTTGATGAACCTTCCCTCTGTGAAGCCCGAAATCAGCTAAAGGTCTAATGATAAGTGTCATAAAGCCCGCCATTTGAAATAAATAAATAAGTAATTGATGAATTATGTTTCACTATTTAACGATCTCTTTTCAGCTCCAACCTACGGTACTGATATCGTTGACTGGATCAGCCGATCAAAGGACATTGACTAAAACTGGTAATGCGTCTGATCCAAATACGAATATTTGTTTATGCCCTTTCAATTTGATTAAATCGTTAGGAATTATGATTTCGTGTATCCTGAACTATTTCTTTAAATTTTGAATAATGTAGGCAACTTGCAATATTGCTTAACTCACATTTCCTTCCTCATTATAATGAAGTTATAGAAGCCATGAATTTTTAAACTACTGAAATGCAAGGATATTTAAAATAGCTAAAAATTATTTGAAGCAAACAGTTAGTTTACTTCAGGCTTTACAGTGGGGGGGGGGAGTTGGGAAGAACGACAAAGTCACTAAAAGTCTAGAGGGGGAACAAAAGAATGATTCACAGGCGTAAAAGAGGGACAGATATAAAAGTAGAGAACAAGGTAAGGTGAGGTGGGTACTATGGATTTGATTAAATATGACAAGTAGTCTTATCATGGCAGTTTGAAGTCAGAAGTAATGCATACAATAGCTAATAAGAAGCTTGATACGAGCGCGAATTGTTGGCAACTTCATCTAAACCCTAGAAATGTGGGCATTCGGGTTCTGTTCATTTTTGCTTCACTTCCAATCAAAATCACATTGTCGCCGATCCGATCATCTTGACCATTGACATTTGGGGATTTTGTTAAAGAGTGGTAGTTAAGTCTAGTCCAGAAGGCCTTAAATCCGCCAAAAAGAGAACTGCCTAATATTTATCGGCACAGAAGCCTTTGAGTCGTTTTGATTAGCAAATACTTAATGGAGATTGTTATGGTTAATCACGCTGGTTATAAACACGGTGCGTAACCATTACCCAAAAATTGCCACATCACATATATCACATAATTCAAAGTAAAACCAATCACAATGTCCAATCGATCAGAACATCACTGGCAAGCAATAGAATAGAGTACAAAACACCTTTAACCATACCCAACCCAATCTACCCCCACTCACTACCAAACCAATGACTAAAGGCAAGGATACGGACAACAAATCTAAAACCAAAATTCAAGATTCACCAGAATTCTTCAAAGAAAAGAACGCAAGTAGTAAATTCAAGCCCGACGTCCGCGGAACTAAAAGCGAAGCACAACATAAAGTTCGAATCCATCCTGGATATTGTAGTCAGAAAGAGTGCGTCCGTCTTCAAGCTGCTGTCTAGAGTGTATCCCTCTTTACCTTGAATCTTGGTTTTCGCATCCTCAATAGTATCACTCGTTTGCACGTCGAGAACTATTATTTTGTTTCGAAGAGTCTTTACAATGATCTGTAAACCACCGCTAAGACGAATAACCAGGTGAAGTGTGGATTCGTTTTGAACATTTAAATCCTATAAGGTACAGCCCTCCTCCAATCGCTCATCAACCACTTGATTTCACTCTCAATGTCCCATGTACATGCGCTTTTCACATATCGAATACTACCAGACCCCATTATTGGTGTCACTTTGTTAAAAGGGCTCCTGCTATTCCAATTCATGAATTTCCTTCACGACTATTAAATGCAAATGAAAATTTTGTGTGCCTATTACTATGCATCTTCCTTTTTGTTTTTGTTAAAAATCTGGGCGACTTTCGATTGAACTGATTCTAGATCATTTCATACGAGTAAAATGCTCTTTCATATTAACTACGCTCATATCCTCTCATTTGCTCTTACTAATGACGCAAAGCACTTTCGAGAATTTATTTGGTCGCCAAGGGCATTTAGATCAACAGAATTCCGACTGTCATCATTTACTACAACTCAGACATTCTCGTGAAAGTGAGGGGTAGAATGTCTTCACTCTCAGTAGAACACATTGGTAGAATGCTGGCCTTGTAGTAATGATTTGCACTTGGCATGATCCGGTTCTCACAAGTGCCACAATAGTTTCTTATAGTGACACTAGCAATGGCTGATTTATGATCAGAACCAGGAGAGCCAGATATTTTGTGTTGTGGAAGCGCGTGGATGTTGCTTGAAGCAAGGAGCAAGTCAGAGGTTGTTCCGTTTTCGTTGTAGTGCAGGTATGTACCAGGATGCTCATTACCGTAACAAAAGTTCTAGAGGGTTGCTGTTAAGTATGTCCTCGATTTCTGACCCCTCCACCCATATTTATGGTCTTAGAGACAAATATGATGGAATGGGCATTAAAGACACCAAGTAGTATATATTTGACTGTATTTTTGTATTTTTGCGTAGAAGAGTCTGGCCAAACAATCTTTAAAATTATTATTCACACTTGATATCAGAGACAATTTTCAAAATGTTTACAGCAATCTACTCACTGAAACGCAATTGAGTTTTATCAAATGGGATAAAGAAATAGCCTTACCCTATGACCTTAGACCTCATGAAATAAGTGTAAATATCATTTCACACATTAAAAAGTGTAGAAAGTACCAAAAAATAAAGTCATCTTTTTTATTCATAGAGTAGGTGTCAAAATATCGTTTATAATACTATGAATTGCTGGTTGATGGTCTTGATTTGCTAGCGATTCGTTTAATTTTCTCAAGTAATTCACTGTTTCCAGTTTCTCAGGGCTCACGTTCTCCTCTATTGCATTGTCGACATTCATTCTTTTCATCATAAGACATGACATTTGAGCAAACATTGCAGACTCATGAAATGTTGAGATAGCTCGAATTTCGCGCGCATATTTGGCGTAAAACTGAATGACAGTCGCCTTAACGTTGACACTAGATGAATGATTTACAATCCATTCTCCTGTTCGTAGATTATTGACGAAGTTTGTATAAACAGGTATTGATGATCTCGAGTAATTAATGTAGCCGATACAACTTTAAGAAAAATGTATCGATTAGTAAGAAGTTTAAAAGCCAAATTTGAAATTCGCATGAAGTGTTGGAGACAATTGACAGTCGGGTATGCAAGCTGCAAGATAACGTGTCCTGTGATTTCGCAGATCACGCTTAGGCTGACCACTGCGACAACGACTAGGATTTCCACGACTTATAGTCTAATCAATGCAACCCAAGAAATCTAGACTGCCACCGGTTATCGTCTGTGTGATCAGACTACACAAAGAAATGGTGAAGAAAAGTGTTGAACCTTTCTAGTATAAGAATGGCTTAAGTGAAATATTATGGATTATCGATTTCAACTTAACTTTCTACTTTCTTTAATGAGTATGCAGTTCTGTTTTATTCACTCATTGTTCTTATTTCGAGTACTTAATTTGAAGTTGAAGATGGTGCAACGCCTTACTACTAATATTTATCCCCAAATCCACAGTTTCTTGGAATATGCAACAAGGTAGTCAGTGGCTCAAGGCGAGTGTGTGGTGAAATAAAAAATGTCCATAATATGTATAGACTGGCATATGCGAATGTGTCGAAAGAGAAATTGAATCCTCGATTGAAATGTGCTTCCAAAATGAGAAATTAAGTCAGAGCAACTATTTACCTGAAATGGCATAATATATAAATATCTGGCATGCGCATTTCCCTTCGAGTGAAGACTTCCATTCCTTCGTAAAATCCTAGAGCATCTCGAAAAATTTTAATATTCGGGTGGACTTCAGCCAAAGCATCGAGAAAAGGTTTACAATCGATAAGGAAGCGGATAACTGGCAACTTTATGTCATTTGTCATGTCGTTAGATGCCACCAAAGTTGACATTAACATCAGATTCGTGCTAAGGCCATCCATATACAGCTTTAGCGTCGGCAGCATCTTGGCAAAGCTGTCCCCACTAAAATGAACACAAACGTTCGGAAGGTGTTTTAATGGATTAAGAAGAGTGACATTTACTCAAATCAATCTACTATTTTCCCTTTGGAAAGTAATCAAGGTACTTTGAAAGTGGAGAGCTGTTATCCCTAAACCACTTTTCTGAAGAAGTAGCTACTATCATTGCTACGGGTGTTGAACTCATCTCATGGCTCACACACGTGCAAGACACGAGTGCTATCAGCTGCGATTCTCAAGTAGATAAATCAATTCGTTTGGTTTCATGCCTCTTGGGAAGTCATCATTTGATAAATCCTCATTTTGTCTCATATAGTCAGTGAGAATTATTACATCTTTCACAGGGTGAGAATCGAATTGTGATTTCCTCTGAAGCAACCCACCATCAAACATAAACCACTTGATGAATCTCGGAGTCCTCGATGGACAGGAGATAATTTACCCTCCAAGACATTGATCTCTCATATTATTCAATAACCCACAAAAAATGATTATATTTTCTATTTAACCGGTTTTATGTTGCCCAAACGCCATGCCATTCACTGGCAACGGATCGAAATGTCTCAAGGTGCGTGGAAGGTGGGGTCTCAGATTTAGTTAACGTGAAGTCAAAATTGTACTCTCTAAACCACTCTTTCTATGCTATTCTCGAATCGTGGCAAATGCTATCAATAACATTAAAGATTAAATGTCACTCACCTCTCTTCAAGCATGCGTTTCAGTAAATCGACGTAAGCTTGGTCCGTTGGTGGACCCTGCAAACTTTCTTCACGAATTGTTTGCTCACTCGACATACTACCCTCTGCTATTGCGGTGCCGTTAAAATGAAATCAATTTCTCCTCTGCAATACTTTCAAGCACGAAATTACATGTAAGCGAAATGAAGTCATTAGTGTTTAATTTGATTGAATATTACTGATAGTGCTTTGAATAAGGGCTCAAGTATTATTGCTCACATTTTGAAATGAGTTCGATTTAATTGTGCTTACGAAGCGGTTTTAATGTAAATCTAATTTCATTAGGTCAACTAAAATATCGAGTCTCGGCAACAATCTTTCTGAGGTCAAGAAAGAAGAAATTTATCATAGGACTTTAGTGGCATACGCTGAATAAGGCTGAATTAGAACCAGATAACACGACTGAAGTTGACGCGTGGTAAACTTTCCGTATGAAATAATTAGCAGAACACTTAAGTGAATTATTCAGTTTTCGGTCGAATTTCCAACTCATTGCTTTCAGTCTCCAGAGATTTTTTAACAAGATTTTGACTTCCAGTCATTTAGAAGTTCATTTACTCTTCAATGTGGTGTACCTTCAAATACTAATCCACTCATGTACCCAGAGTAGAAATCAGCTGGAAAAGCCATATTCTCGTCTTCAGACGCTTTCAGGAATTTTCATTCCACATTATTAACTTCTTCTTACAGGAATTTGGTTTAAACATTCTGACCCAGGTGCGTCATTCTTCTTTCTGAGCTAGATCGGCAGATTGCTTGCCCATATCACATTTTTGTGGAACAAATAGTATTGATGAGATTTGTATGGTAGAAAATGGACAAAATGCTAAGCAATACAAAGCCACCATTTTGTCAGAGTCTTAAGGAAGAAAGGGAATGAAAGACGGATGGAAGGATAAAGCAATATATATATATATTTCAAATGGCAGGCTTTTGATATTTATCATTAGCCCTTAAACTTTGACTTCAGCTTCCCCCAAGGGTGGGGGGTGCATATATAGCAGTTAATTAATAGCAGTTCATTCTATCATTAGCCCTTAAACTTTGACTTCAGCTTCCCCCAAGAGGGGGTGGGGTACATACAATTCATGGAGGGGGTACATTTATAGCAGTTAATTAATAGCAATTCTGGTACATTTATAGCAGTTAATTAATAGCAATTCATTAGGGGGGGTACATTTATAGCAGTTAAGCTTCCCCCAAGGGTAGGGGGGGGGGACATTTATAGCAGTTAATTCCTACCCCAAGAGGGGGGGGGGATACATTTATAGCAGTTAATTACGTTCATGAAGGGGGGTACATTTATAGCAGTTAATTAATAGCAGTTCATTTAGCTGTCTTCTTGCTTCCCAGTATCTCTGGCTTAATTACATTTATAGCAGTTCATTAATAGCAATTCATTAGCTGTCTTCTTGCTTCTTACATTTATAGCGGTTAATTAATAGCAGTTCATTAGCAGTCTTCTTGCTTCCCCGTACTCTGCTTTCAGCTCATTAGCTGTCTTCTTGCTTCCCAGTATCTCTGGCTTTCTTGCTTGTCTTTAGAGCTGGACACCGAATCAGGTGGGTCTTCCTTGTCTTTAGGGCTGGACACCGAATCAGGTGGGTCTTCCTGTCTTTAGGGCTGGACACCGAATCAGGTGGGTCTTCTTAATTTCCTCACGTAGGTTACATAGGGGGCATGTTGAGTGGTACTCCTTAGGTTACATAGAGGGCATGTGGGTTGAGTGTATACTCCCAGGCTACATAGAGGGCATGTGGGTTGAGTGTATTCTCCCAATAGAAGGGCATATGGGTTGAGTGTATACTCCCAATCTGTGAAGGGGGCATGTGGGTTGAGTGTATACTCCCAATCTGTGAAGGTCCATGTGGGTTGAGTGTATACTCCCAATCTGTGAAGGTGTACATGTGAGTTGAGTGTATACTCCCAATCTGTGAAGGTGTTTATAGGCAATCGTGTTCGGTACGTAGTCTAAACTCATCAACGGCTATCTGTGAAGGTGTTTTGTCAAGCAATCGTGTCCGGTACGCAGTCAAAACTCAGCAACGACTTCGATACTTGGCCAGTCGGCTATGTCGGAGAGTGCC